TGAAAACGAAGAAGAAGAAGGAGGAGGAGGAGGAGGAAACAAAGTAGACATGCCAGGTGTCACAAAAGTATAAATAACCTGTCAATCTTGAGCGAATATGACGGCATAAATATAGTATAGTGGCCCTTCTGAGTGACTCCAGAAAGTTTTAAATATTTGCGCTGATCTTTCCTACAGTTCATCTACTCTTTTACACGCCTGATGTAAATTTTAGTCCTATATAGGCAATGGAAAGAGTTTTATTTTAATGTAAAGCAGAATCTGATGCCATCGGTTAATTCCTTGGGATCTGGAAAATATACTGGTAATGATGAAAAAATTCTGAAAAAATGACGACACATCGGCGGGACCTTCGATAAAAAGAATTTGTAACGAAAATTACTGTCGAGAGATTCCTACATCATGTTTTATTTTATTTTTTTCGGATCCAACTTCTGAATGCTGATCAAGTTTCAAGTAATTTCAATGTTCGATCTGTTATTTCTATTGTTTGATTATATTTGTTATGACTGTTTTGTCGTGAAATCCTTTTCGTTCGCTTATTCGTCATTCTCGAAATTCAAAATTCTGCGAGTCAAAAAATTTGGAAATAAGATTAATCTGCCACCCTTCTGTGCAGAACTATTTTGGCGGTGGTTTAATAACTAAATAAACATTTAAAAATCATTCAAAGCGAAAAAATCATTCGTGTTTGTTGTTCTGTTAAATAAGAAGAAGAACTTGGATCTTCGCTACAGTTTTCAGTTTTTCAGAATTTTTTGGAATTTTTTCAAAATCCTCCGTAAATGTGAAAAAGAGAATTGCTGTGATGTGCCAATAACCACCCTTGATTGGCTTTTGAGTATTCTCAAGAAGAAAATTGAAAATCCGCAAAAATTATTTCAGAGCTTGGAAATAGTTTTTTCCAGCCATTCCTACTCAGCAGTGCAATTTGGAAGCTATAATTTGCCAATTCGTAGCATTTTCTTCATTCATTGCCTTTTTTTATTTAATGCCTAAAAAAAAAAGAAATTACGAACGTACCCGTTCCTCGTCCTCCAATCGCCGACGGCAGTCCTCGAACTGAGTCGCGATTTGGCTCTTGGCATAAGAAACGTTTTCAATTGAAATTTTGAGTTCTTGCACTTCCTTGACCAGCTCGATGTTCTCCTGCGAAATCCGCGACTTGTGGGACGTGATGTCAATGATGGTCCTGTTCAGCTCTTCAATGCGAATGGACAGCTCGTGCACCGTGATTTCCATCTTCTCGGCAGTCTTCATCGCTGTAATCTGAGGACATAATTTGAAATAAAAATTGCTTGAAAATGTGCATTAAAAGGACCAGTTTTCAGCATTCTTTGCTTTATACAGACCTTGTCCTTGTTCGACGACTCGATCTGGTTCAGCAGCTCGTAGATTTCCTGTTGCATCTTACCCTTTTCCTTCTCAATCCTAAACAAACAAAAAAAGAAAAATGGAGCGAAAGTGAGTAGAATGTATAAGACATTTGCATACATCGTGCCAATATTTTACATTTTAAGGGATTTTCCGAAGAAGCCCACGAAGAAATTCCAAAAGAAGAAAGGCTCATAGAACATTTTTCTTGGCAAGCTAAATTTGCTCGTACGATTTTGTTTTTTAGGTTTTTCTTGAATCGAGTTATTGAACTAATTTTATGATGCGGTCTATATATTAGTGCCACTTGAATGCCGCGCAAAAAAAATAAAATCCAATATGCTGATGTAAATATTTTCATGAGATTTTCGAGGTAATCTTCGGACAAATCAGTTATTTTTCCAAAGTTCAGGAAAATCATGTTTTTCTTTGGAAAAATCGCAAGAAAGCTTTTATGGTGTATATAAATGGCTGATTGATTTCGTTCTCTCTCTTTAAGTTAGACTTAAATGTTTAACTCGTATTTATGCCCTATTTGATCCGTTTTAAGACTGGTGTGCTTCATCCCTCAATAAATGTATTGCACGCTGACGAGGCACTCAATTTTAAGATTTTTGCATATGAAAACAAAGATCAGTCTCTCAACAGCGTCTCTGCTGGCGTATGTGAAAAAATAAATAAAAATAAAAACATAAATGACACCCCAGTCTGCTTTGAAATTTAAAAATATGAGGATTTGTTATAAGCACGAACTGATTTTTAAACAAAGGAAGTCGCAGAATGAAAAGATGATTTCGAAGGATTTTTTTTGTATATACTTGGCCCTGGATTTCATGGCAAGGTCCAGTTGGTCTTGCAGGTCCTGCAAAGATTCCTGGTGCTTCTTGCGCAGCATGTGAGCAGTCTCTTCAGACTCCATGTGCACATCCTCCAGCAACTTCCGCAGTTTCATCAATTCCATGTCCCGCTTCTTGTTGGACTCGATCTAAAAAAAAACATCCAATCAATCACATTCAAAAATATATATATAAAGAATGAAATGAACCGTGACATGAACAGTTTTGATACCTGGCAGTCGGTGCCAGCTTCAGCCTCTTCCAAGCGCTCGGACATTTGGATGACTTGCACACTCAGATCCGCCTTCTCCCTCTCGATCTGCACAATATAAATGTTTCATTCATCAATCGATAAATAAATGGCAAGACCAAAACAAAAAAGCATTGAGTATACAAACCCTTTGCCGGAGTTCCCTCTCCGACTCCAAGTCCTCCTGCAGCAACCGGATCTTGTCCTGTTTCCCAAAAAAAATAAACAGCAAAAAACGCAAATTATTCATCAACATTCTTCACTTCCCTGATAAATTTTTTTTCAAGCACCGTATTGGAACTCGTATAGTTGACGCATTCCTTCCCTTGGTCGATCAGTACGTTTCAGGAATTTTGTTTTGCACGCTTTCAAGGACATCGAAAGGAGAAATAAATTTTCTTCTTGAAAGACAGAGAGAGAGCGCGCGAAAAAAGAGACAGAGCCACTGTTTGCTCCGAGATTTTCCACCACGGAAAAAGGAATAATACTAAAAAAACAAAGCAGAGCTGAGAAAGAAAGAAGGAAAGGGAAAAAAATGTTCCAGAGAGAGAGGAAAATCCGGAAGCAGAAAACCCACACACACACACACACACGGGTTTAATTTTGGAACCCGAAAGCTGGGCCGCGAGCCAGGAGAAAGGCCAGACGCGCGCGGGTTTCTCTCGTCGTCCTGACCCTCGGTTGTCCTTGCTGGCTTTCTATGCGGGCTTTCCAGAATTTAAGCTCTTCTCTCTCTCTTTTTTCGTTCGTTTATGTGTGTGTGTGTGTGTGTCTCTCTTTTTTCTGCTTCTTGCCTATTTCGTCCTTCCTGCTGGATTCGAAAAAAACGCAGTCTCCGCCTCGTTTGGAGCAAGCAGGGCGTAAGCGTGACTCAACGCACTGTGCCAGCACTTTCTAGAGGGATCTATGACATTCTTCCTTGATTCTCATCCGTGTTGCTAGAATTTGACCAAATATATTCCCAGGGTTTTGCCTATAGATAACACATGCTCATCGCAGTCAGAAACGGTTATTGCATTTTTCTTTGCCTCAACTATTGCTGGAGGAAATATGTTGAATAAAATGTTTCCGAACTCGAGCATAAAAATGCTAAAAATACCCCCGAATTAAGGAAATATTTCGACTGCAATTCCAGCTAATTTCAATATACCGTAGTAAAATATCATTATAACGAATTATCGGCTATATTTACACTTTAAAGCACTGTTCAAATAGCAACAACGATTTTCCAGTAACATTGTAATGATTTTATCATTATAACGGAGCTCTTTTTTCTGGCCCCAACAGCTTCGTTGTAATGAGACTTTACTGCATAGATATTGAAAAATATATGATACCATAGGCAATGTCCAACAGATTTAGTGAATTTTCGGGAGTCAAAAGGAATATTTTGAGTCTTTAATGGTGCTCTTCAAGATTCAGAAAATGCAAAAACAGGATGTAGTACCGAATGCAAGAATTTGAAGCAAAATTTTCGAAGATACTATGCTTCAAGGCTTCGTGAATCATGTTGGCATATTTTTCTGTCAAGGACGCTTTGTCTTTCTACTCGGTGCCAAATGATGAAAACGGAAAGTACTTGGATCTAGTGTTCTTCGCTAAACTCAACACAATGACTTTTGTTTTCGAAGAAATGAATATTTGTCACGTCTTATGAAACAATTTCAGCAGAGGAACCCATATTCTGAACCGACAGCTTCCGGAACACATTTTCCGGCCCAATCCCTTCTTTCAAATGTAATATCGTGAAAAAATATGGGCGCTCTTTGAAATTATGAGAAAAATTTAAAATTTGTGATTGCCAACATTTGAGAATCAACTTTATTCGCTTAGGTTTTTCGTCAACCTTATTTCTCTTCGATCTATTCTTTGGGTCACGTGTCATCCTGAGACATTCACTCGTGTTTCCTCAGCGGAAAAGATGAAAATGAGGGGAATTTTTCCCCGAATAGAAGCCGAACAAGAAGCAGCAGAAAAAAGTTGTCAGTTGTGTCAGTCAGTCGATTTCGGACGAAACGTCACCCAGGAAAATAAAGATGCTTTCTTCCTTTCCTTTCGCGTTGACCCGACCTGCGACGGGCGTTTGTTTCACCGCAAAAGTCAGGAATGCTTCCCGGGAAAACTTGGCTAGAGTCCAGTGGGTTTAGTAAATAACTAAAAGGAATATCTTTCTTCCTTTCCTTTCGCGTTGACCCGACCTGCGACGGGCGTTTGTTTCACCGCAAAAGTCAGGAATGCTTCCCGGGAAAACTTGGCTAGAGTCCAGTGGGTTTAGTAAATAACTAAAAGGAATATATTTGAACCGAAACTAGGGATTTTAGCTGAAATTGAAAAAGAAAGCCTCGTCCTGGCTCGCGTACGACAACTAAATTCCTCCCATGTACCAGCTGCTCGAAAAGTTGCCATATTCCACAATCCTTATCGTTGAGAAAAATAATGTTTTTTTGCTTCACTTTTTACGAGATGAATTTTCCGTAAATTGGCTCCCACAAACGATCTCAATCTGGACGCGTGTCTTATTCATTTTCAAGCGCTGTAAAAGTATTTGAATGCATCGAAGCGTTGAAATTAATTTTGTGGGCCAAATAAATGCGTGCGCTGATATAAAAAAAGGAAGCCAATATAATTTATTCTGATGATTTCGGCTCCAGATTCAGTTACAGTTGCACAACTTTCAAAAATAAATGAATGAATTAGTGGAGCAGCTGTCTTTTACCAATAATCGATACTAACATTGTCTCAGCAATCCATTTTATAGAAAATTCGTGAGTACAGTAAATGATTCAACTTAGCATAAAATAATGCTAATCATAATCACAGTGGTTTGAAGAAATCATTTGACATCAGATTAAAACACTTTACGTGAAGGGAAAGAATTATGAACTTCACTCATTCCCAGAAATGGTCTTGATTCGTAATTACTTTGCAGTTTTTTCTGTCTTACTTACTTTTACTATGCTGAATAATAGCCACATCTGAAGGGCAATAAAATGGTTTGAGTTCGCTGTCACACTTCTTTAGTGTAGTAGGTTATAAAATGGTAGATTTTAAAAATTGCTCATGCAAAAGGCGAATCTTCAAAGAATCTCTGCAAACTTTTGAAAAACTACTTTCTTTATAATAGTTCATCGTAAAGTCTTCAGTGAAAGATATTCAATGATGCTCATAAAATAGGTAGTTTCCTGACATTTGAAAATACATTAGGGGTAAGATGATGGCTTTTCGATAGATTTAGGGTTCTATAGATAATCAAACCCCCAAAGGAAGCCTCGTTTTTTTTAAAATAAAAAGAACAATATTGATCAGCTGCGAAAGGAAAACATAAAAATGATATTTTTTTATTCCGCCCGCTTCTTTCTCATAATTTTTAGGAATATTTTTCTAAAATACAGCACAGATTACCCCTTTTTTGGTCTTCTTATTAAAAAAATATAATGCAAATCTCAAAGCCCTAATCCTCAAAATTGAGAAATTTTCGACGAAATGGAAAGCCTTTGAAAAACAGACCAAAGTTTCTAGTGAACTATCAATACTGTACAACTTTCAGGGTAGGAGAACATAGAATGAAAAATATCAGGCCAATTTCTTCCTCTGAGAAAATTTTGGAAAACGCTGACTGAAAATGTGCCAAGAAAATGAGGGAGCGAAAATAAGATGGTCTATAAAAACGTAAACCCACAATTTTCCCTCTTCTCCCCGGAGAATTTTTGGAGTTACGTGTTTATGCCCCATTTCAAATGTCGACACATGCAGTGAATTTATTTCAAATGGGATATTCAATAATTCTATAAAGCCTTCTATATATGCTCATATATCGAAATGAGGAATTCACCCATTTTCTTTCGGAAATCCTCGACCATCCAATTTCAGCCCAAAAAAAAATTTTGCATGCCAAAAAAAAGAAGCAAAAAGAAACAACAAAGTCTCACCTCGAGTCTGGTGAAGGCGCCGGTGTCGGTGCCATACTCGATGGAGATGTCGGCGCCGTGCCCGCCTGTCGATCGATACACGTACTTGCTCGTTTTCGTCACTGTCGATGACATGGCTGCGTTGCTCATCTACGTGACGTGTTTCGATTCAACTAAAAATTTGTGTTTATGTCTTCCTTGTTTCGAATTGGCACGATAACCTCGCTAATATCTCCGACAATCCGTCCCTCAACACGTCGCACGCACAACGGGCCGACACCTATGCCACGATGATCAGCGAGAAAGA